TGGGTAACACCAAATATTCAGAATAAATGGCTTTGCCTTTTGACAGACCCTTGGCTGGTCAAAGTTCAGCTTTACTACACAGCTGAATCTCTATGATATATTCTTGCGGCCCTCAAGACACCCCTCCTTCAAGGAAACCTCAACAGTCAGTAGGCCCAGCAGAACTCCTGAAGATGACTGTAGTTTAGCTGGGATAGCCCTATATGTAGCTGGGTATCCATGACGTGATTAATAAATGATAGTCTCATTGTCTCTAGCTTTGGAGAAGTGTTTGACACATAGGAAAGACAGTATAGATGAGAGCTCTAGGTACCTAAACAAAGACATTATCAGAACTCCCAACACAGCTGCAGAGGGACCTGCAGAGATGGCTCAGCGGCTAAGAGCACTCACTGGCTGCTCTTCCAGAGGACCCAGGTTCAATTCCCAGCACCTACATGGCTGCTCACAACTGCCTGTAACCCTAATTCCAGGGAGTCTGATTCTGTAATGTAGAAGCCAGGAAATGTGCCTTAAGAACCAGACAGTCTCAGGGTTGTGGTGGTGGTGGTGCATGCCTTTGATCCCAGCACTTGGGAGGCAGAGGCAGACAGATCTCTGTGAGTTCGAGGCCAGAATGGTCTACAAAGCAAGTTCAGGACAGCCAGGGCTACACAGAGAAACTCTGTCTTGAAAAACTAAAAAACAAAACAAACAAAAAGAACAGTAGGTCACCACAGGGACTGCTGATGACAAACCTGGCTGCTGGCACCCCTGGATTCTCCAAGTCACACCACCACTGTGAAAGGCTTTTGAATTGTCGTGTATCTTTTGTGATCTTGGTGGAAACATCAGATTGACCTGAAAAAGATCTTGCCTGTCTGGCGTGAGGAGTCGTGTGTGTGTGTGTGTGTGTGTGTGTGTGTGTGTGTGTGTGTGTGTGTGTAAGGGGGTTGGAATAGAGAGAAGCCAAGAGAGGGATGATGAGATTGATGACCTCTGTATTGGTTAGAATGATACCAGCAGCTAGAGCAAACCCTGCAGTTCCAGTGACCCGAAATAACGGACTTGCTGCTCGTTCATAGAACGTTCAGGTGCAGATACACTGAACACAGGAGGGCAGCTTCCTTA